TACAACTATCTACTGGGGCTTTGGGGGGAAAAAATAAATAAATAAAATCTTTAAAAAAAAAAAAAAAGAATGACGACATACTTTTCCACTGAAGCACTTCTATCAAGGAATACTCGTATGGAAATGTCTTGTCATCAATGTTAACATCTTCGAGAGTTACATGAAATGCAGCCGATACCGGTTCTGTTCACAAAGGGAAACTGCAGGTGGTAAAGGGGAAAGCATTCACACCTGCCAGCACAGTGAGCAAGACAGGCAACTCCTCCATGAAATGCCAGACTGGGGACAATGCCGCACATGACCCATGACCTTAGTGTAACAACCCACCAAAAAAGGCTGAGAAATATGCGAATCAGAACCCGGCGCACGTCTGCGACGTGCTATGAGGTGGGTTAACCTAGGGCAGCTCTAAGACCTCTTCCAATCGCAGCATCCGCCCATTCTAGAACACTCGGAGAGAAACACTACACAGCACGGGGCTGCATCTACAGCCTGCAAACCAGCTGGAACATTCTCAACGCGCTGAAAACCAGCCCCAACCATGAGAAGTGCTTGCTGGTCCTGACCACTAGATGGTGCGCGAGAGTCCCGTCAGCCCTTGAGCCATTGGTCCCCACGCCACCCGGGGTCTCTGGTGGTCACCTTTCCTCGAGGACACCAGAGAGGGAATAAAAGTTCAGGGCTTCGCCCCCCCACCCCAGCCCCAAAGGCACGATGCTCCATGAAGTGAAGCTCAGCATAACTCTACGGAACCCTCAGTACCGCTGGAAAAAAAAAACATATTTTTCATTTAACAAATTTGGCCAACATTTGTAAGACCGCACACAGTGTTGGTAAATATAGGGAAAAGGTGACTTTCAACTTGTTCAACCTTTCTAGTAACTGCATTTAAAACTCCTAAAATGCTCATTCCACTTCTAGGAATTCACCTCTAAGAATCAATCAGAACGGTACAAAGCTTCATGCAGAAATGTTCGTGATAGTTTTAATTGTACTAACAAATTGGCAGGGCAGCAGTCTACGTGTCCAAGAGGGGACTGGAGAAGCAATGATATATTCACACCGTAATCACGTTCTGGAAGACTGAATGAAGCTCCAGGTCTGTCTGTCGGTACCTGGTACGGCAGCTGGTGTGCACAAGCGTGTGCACCAACATGCTCGCGGACAGAACACTCGCCCAGACAGCGGCAGGACAAAGGACAGAGCAGTCACATCTCTAGGGGGATGAATGTCCACAAGAGTTTTATTTTGTACTTTATACTCTTCTTTATTTTCCACAACACACATGATTGATTTCATAATTAGAAAGAAACCCAAGTTTTTCAGTCCTTGTTAAAATCATAAGAAACCTCTGTCCAGCGAGCCTCCCCGTCCCCCAAGTGAGCCTCCTCTGCCCCCAGGTGACCTTCCCCCTCCCACCAGGTGAGTCTCCTCCGCCCCCAGGTGACCTCCCCCTCCCCCCAACCCCCCCCAGGTGAGCCTCCCCCTCCCCCAGGTGACCTTCCCCTCCCCCAGGTGACCTCCCCTCTCCCCAGGTGAGCCTCCTCCGCCCTCAGGTGAGCATCCCAGGTGGGCTCAAGTGTCTCCTTCCTCACTCCTAAAATCAGCTTCTCACATCCAGGCTCTGCCCTGTGGTTTAGCAGGTGCTTTCACAAACACCTCATCCAATGCCCCCAACTGCCCTATAAATTCAGTGCTTCTCTTCCCACTTTGTGCAACAAGGTCATGGCCATAGCCCAAGTGTACAGTGACCCTGAATGAGGTGATACCCATTTTCCCAATCAAAATATCCCAAAGTTTTTTAGAGCCTATTTTCAACTTTCACAAATGTACAGGAGGGATAAAAGCCAAATTTTCTAATTTATTTACTTTACAACCATACTTTATTTATTTTGTGTGTGTGTGTGTGTGTGTGTGTGTGTGTGTGTGTGTGTGTGTGTGTGTGTGTGAGAGATCAGCCCTGAGCTAACATCTGTTGCTAATCCTCCTGTTTTTGCTGAGGAAGACTGGCCCTGGGCTAACTTCCGTGCCCATCTTCCTCTACTTTATATGGGATGCCGCCACAGCATGGCTTGACAAGCAGTGCGTCGGTGCACACCTGGGATCCAAACCTGAGAACCCCAGGACGTCAAAGTAGAGCACACAAACTTAACCACTACGCCAGCGGGCTGGTCCCTCTATACACATATTTTAAATCACATGTGAAAGAAAAGATTAATTTACAAAAACTGCTTTCTTCCATATTCACATTTCATGAAACAGTTTACTCAGCTCTGAAATGTGTTTCTGGCACTTCGGAGACTCTGGCCCACTCCTTGGGTCATCTGACCCAGCTCATCAGATAAAACCACCTTCACCTGTTTGAGGCACAGCCTGGTTTCCAGTTAACATAGAATGTTTAGAGACTTTTATCCCAAACCACAATGACCCAATCACAGCTTGTGTCCTCCACAAACCACCGCTCTCTACGTGACTTTCAAAGGCTTGTCTCACTACCACCACCCCACAGGTGAGGTCATGTTCAGGAATAACTGCTATATCTGTTCTAACTCTGCACTCTCGTTGACAGGCCCATCAGGTGACCCGTGAGCCCCTGACCCAGCGTCGGGTGACCCGTGAGCCCCCGACCCAGCAGCCAGGGACCCATGAGCCCCTGACCCAGCGTCGGGTGACCTGTGAGCCCCTGAGCCAGGGTCTGGAGACCCGTGAGCCCCTGACCCAGCATCTGGTGACCCATGAGCCCCTAACCCAGCACTGCTGGTGGACACGTCAGGTTCAGAGGTCTCCTGCACCCAAACAGTGCTGGTGCTCCCTCAAAGAAAGCGAAAGAGTTCTGGGGAGAAGCAAGACTTTCCCAGGCCCGTCAGCCAAGTGTCCTCCTCTAAGGACAACACAGACATACAGGTGACACAGAAGGCACATAAGACAAACCCTCTCAGAACATACCAGTCACACATCGACCAACACGCCGCAGGGGGCTGACTGGGCACTTACTTGGACACAAGCACAGCAGCTGCGTCCCGGGCCTTGTCGCTGACCACCAAGTAGGACTGGAAGAAAGGACAAAGGACAGGCACTGTTACGCCCATGATGTAGAGCTCAGGGACCCACTCTGCTGGCTAGCCCCACACTCAGCTGCTCCCCGAGAGCCCAGGGTCAGGAAGAAGCTTACTGGCAGAGGCCAAATTCCAAAGCTGCACAAACTACCCCTAGACTTGAGCTGACAGCTGCGGCCACCAACCACTGTGCGCACCCTCGGGTAACAGCCTAACCCATGTACAGCCCGGGATCACACCCCTGAAACACACATCTGCAAAAACAGCAGAAAAATGAAACCCGTCTGTGTTACCCAACTGCAACAAAGAACCACGGTGTGTCTGCGGGACACACTTGGGAGCCATCAGCATTTTAGTGTCCAGGACAATCAGGAGGCCCCACTCAGACGGAAGAGGACCTAGGTTGGGTACAAGCGACCAGCTGTTCTTGGGAGGCCCACCTTAAGAGGTTTCCAATTCTCACCTCAACCAACTTTTTTCCAAACAATACACTTACAAGATCTTTTCCTGGGGCGGGCTTTCTGGAGGACAATCCCATACAGAGTGCCATACCTGCAGACATGTACTGCCCTATCTGGTCACCCCAGATAGAAGACAAGCACAAAGGGTATGCAACAGGCAGGCCATCATCACACTGTTTTTAACAGAACACAACCAGAAACAAACAAAACGTGCACCTATAAGAGGATATGTTATAAATCAGAATACAGTGGAGCACGTTATCGCCTAAAGGCTACGAGGGAGACATCTACTCGCTGACGTAAGACATTTAGAATATACTACTAAGGGAAAAAACAGGCCACAGGACAAAAAGCGGGCACCATGGAGCCATGACGAGTGTGGCCTCAGGAGTCGGACGGACTGCCTGCCTGCAAACCTGGATCCACCACTTACAACAAGGGGACCCAGCTAAGTCACTGATGTCTACGCCTGCTGCCTCCTCAGTAAAACGAGGACAGAAACAGTCAACTGCCTCACTAAGGAGGTTAAATGAGTTCATATAGGAAAAGTGCAGTGTCTGGCAGAGAGCAGGCACTCGGTGACTGCTTAGTATAGGTAAGCCTGGCAGGCCGACCCTAAGATGGTCCTGTGTCTTCCCTTCAACGTGGGTTGGACACAGTGACTTGCTTCTAACCAACATAATTTGGCAAGGGGTGGGATACCCCTTCCTGATTAGGTAACACGTTACTGTGACCTCTGTCCGGCTCGAAGACCCTGCCCCTTGCTGGCTTAGACAGAAGAAGCTGCCACGCTGGAGGGCCATGAGACCAGGAACAGCCAGCAGAGCACCGAGGCCATCGGTCCAACACCCTCGAGGGCTGACTTCTGTCAATCACCATGAGAGCATGGCAGTGGACCCTGCCCCAGGTGAACTTTGACCTCAGCCTGAGGAGACCTTGATGCAGAGGGACCAACAAAGCCATACCCAGATTCGTGACCCACAAAAACTGTGAGATGATAAACGTGTGTTAAACCACTCAAGTTTGGGGTAACTTTTTACACAGCATAACCTATGTCTATGTGTGTACCATTTACATCAGGAAAAGTCTGAAGAAATACACAAGTGTCACCCCTTGGCACTAAAATTTGAGAGATTTCAATTTAATATCTTCCTGCTTCTCTTTATTTCTAGTTTTCCTATAATGATCATGCATTACTTATATGTTAAAATTAAATTTAAAACGGACCTTTATTTTCTCTTATCATTGCCCCCTGAAACCTCTTATATGTCATTAATAGGCTTAACAGAGTATTTGCATTATCTACAAATGAAATCTGATAAAGTAATTCATCCTGACCCCTGTGTGAATTATCACAATTTCAAAGTAAGTTATGAAATGGAATTGTACCTCACTGAAAAACAGTAGCAGCAGTTGAAGAAATATGGAAATGTCAAAAGTGTACCTGATTAAACTCTAAAATCAAGACAGCATGAGAACGAAAGAGAACAGTAATTAGCGGCTAAATATTTGCATAATCACATTACCTCTGCAATCTGGAGAATTCGGTCCATTATGGACATTCGAACTTGCCCATGTTGAGTCAGAAGGTTCCCATCAAGGCGTGAAAAATCGAAAGGGATCAGGCAGGTCGTGGAGAGCCACAATAAAAGCATGTAGCGAGTCTCCCAAGTCTAAGAAGTTAAATCAAAGTAAAATGATTCCTGTGTAAAGAACAGAGGTGACTCGCACGCCCCACTCAGTCCTGCTGCCCTTCCTGCCCACTCAATGCCTTCACAGGACCTTCAAATGCTGCCGACCTCAGAGGCTGGGGTGCAGACCATCGTTAGCTCCTCCCGTGTCTCTCCCGTATCCACATACCCCCTCAGTCATACGGACTTAGCTACCTCAGCAGACAAAAGAAACAGCAAAGTGATGAAAAATCATAATACACCAGTATAACAGTTTCTCTTCACTGGCACCCTTCAGCGTGCAATCGGCCTTTTAAGAAAGTGGAAAACAGGTAAAAAGATAAAAACAGAAGGCTTAGGAATAAAGAAAAAAATTCTCAACTTGCAGTCAAAGAAGAGTGCCCTTATCTTCAGCAGTCAATAAAACAAGATTCCCCTTTGGCCCTGGAATCACCCATGAGTAGAGGAGGAGAGCAAGGGCATGAGGAGTAGAGGAGGAGAGCAATAGAAATGCTCACCCATGTCTTCAGCTAAAATCGGGCACATTCCCACCAAGACAATTCACACAGTGGTGCAGTTATAAACTGTGTACTCCTCTGAATGCACACTGTGCAGAAGAGTGCCCCACGGTAGGCCTGACTGCTCTCCTTACAAAGGCCTGCTTACAAGACTGGCCATATCAGCAGGCATCTGGGAACACAGATTTCGGGAGGGCTCCCACAGTTCCCTAAATGAGGGTGACTCTCTGTGCCCAGACTGTTTGTACAGACCACATGGTTTATGCTGAAACCTGCTTTCCTTCTGCGAGTCTGGAGTTTTGGTATGTGCTCAGCAGAAAGTACACTCATGACCAGCTCCCCATAAAAACACTGGGCAATGGTCTCTGTGACCCTTCCCGGTAGACAACACTTCACACACGTTGTCACAAGTAGGTGCTAGGGGAATTACAAGTGCCCTGTGTGACCCAGCTGGGAGAAGACTCCAGAAGCTTGCTCCTGGTTTCCTCCAGACCTCACCCCACGTGCCTTTTCCCTTTGCTGGTTTTGCTATAATACATCATAGCCATGAGAATGACTACACGCCGAGTCCTGAGAGTGGTCCTAGGCAATCATGGAACCTGGGGTGGTCTTGGGGACCCCCAATATAGTTATATTTCAAGTTAAAAAAAATTTGGACAGCGATATAGTTATTGCCACACTGTACTTAGGCATATATTTTCTTTATAAATAGAAAATACAAAGAGCATATTTTAAAACAAAATAATTTAAAATAACATGTAAAAAGGGAAAGCCAAAAGAATAAAAGAAAAGAGAGGGAGGGACACAAACAGCATAAGATAAAACTGAAGGAAACAGTCGATGAAGTTTCCATTGCAGGACGGGAACAAACAGGGAAGAAAGAAGAGGGGGGAGATGAGGAGGAGGAGAAAGGAAGACTCACTTCATGGTCTTTGGGATTCTGATTTGTAAACATATCTAAAACAGGCTGCACATCAGCTACTTCGTGAGGAAATAAACGAAGAAACGCTTTATATCCTCGAACCTATCAAATAAAAAAAGTTACTGAATTATTACATAATTAGAAAATATAGAAAGTAACAAGATTTTTCTCTTTCCTCTATCATCAAAAATCACCACCTATGCCACCCAATGATCAAAGAGAATTATATCAGGTTACAGCCATACAACTCAGTAAGGCTATACAACAAGAAAGCTATCTCTGCTTCTTACATCATTTCACAAACATGCTCTGTCCCAATCTGATTAATGAACCTTGTATGTGGTTCATCAGAAATATAGATATGTTATATGAACTAAAAAACTTGGCTTATACCTTGTTTATATGACTGCCCTCTGACATTTATGAGGAGTAAGGCCTCGAGAACCTCAAAGGTCCCCAAATTCATTAAGCCTTCCATAAAATGCAGTGGCACTAACACCTTCAGGAGGGACCCCATACTCCACCAACCGAGCTGCAGAGAAGTGTGCATGACAGCCCACCCAAGGTGCTCTCTCACCGGCCAAGGGCCCCTCTTCACCATACAGCAGGCACCACTACAATGTGAAGCCCCACAGAACCACAAACGCCACCCTGAGATGGCAGAGTCACTCCCATGGTCAAAACTGCAAACAGTAAGTCTGAAGGCCAGCACATGAATCACCTGGGAGCTTGTGAGAATGCAGAGTATCAGGATCCCCCCAGACCTATTCTCTCAGAGCCTGCATTACAAAACAAGATCCCCAAGAAACTGTACATTCAAGTTAGAAACGTGCTTCCGCTTCCACCAGCTTGTTTGCTTTTTCCTGTAAGAAACTTTCCTGAATTAGTCCTATCTATAGCTCCCACTCGCTCACTGGCTCCTCCTTTCCAGGTAGATGGTGCTTGATCTATTCAAATGCAAGACGCTAAACATCTCAGACACTGTTTCAGCCAAAGGGCCCCCTGGATCACTAACATCTGATCCCCAACATATGGTAAAAAAAAGAAAGAATGAAACCCACAACTTATGATGTAGAGAACCATTTTCCTAAGAAATAATATTTTGGAAAGTAACTTCCGGATCAAGTATATTAAGAAAGTAGTCTGTCAACTATAAAGTGTTATATAAATGTTACCTTGGTGATGATGTAAAGAAATTTAAAAGCCAGATGTACAAGGTCACCTGGAGATGTCTTATCTTGCACTATATCCAACAACAAGTCCATCATCCATTCTAAGGAAAAACATATACAAAACATTTGCTATAAAACTAAACGTCAATATGATATTAAAACAAACACCAAAAAAAAAAGTGTTTATTCAGAAATCTAAGAATGGTTCAATATTAGTAAACCTATATAATCCAAGTATCAATAGAGCAAAAGAAAAAACATTTTCATCTTAAGTTTCTAAAAGTGCATTAGAATTAACAGAACATTCATTCCTGCTTTTAAAATGCAGGGAAAATATTCTTATTTTAAAAAAATAATTCTATCTCAAATCAATATCTAATACCATGATTTACAGAAGATACCTGCCACAACTACGATTTAGCAACCATCTGGTTCTAATCAATGTAATAAGACAGAAAAAAAAGGATTTCCACTTCTAGTTATAAAGGAATAACTGATACAGAATTGCCCTACCACTATGAACAAGACAATTGGACCAATATATATACAGACACTGGAACAACAGGCAGTGCATGGTAACAAACCCACTGTGATCTATAGCTGCCCACGTGGTAGGAGGTAGTTCTTAGAACTCAGTGCAGGGAGGGGGGCTCAAGAAGGCTGAGTCAGCTGAAATTTGCAGGGCAGCGTACCAAAGAGGAAGCTAAACAGACAATGAACTCCAGCAGTCTGCAGAGGGCCCCTCGAGTCTTTGGCTGAATCTTCACATGCATGGGGTAAGTCCACAAGGCCAGGTAAGAACAACTGCCAGGAAGCACTAAGGCACAGAATTCCCATAGCTCACACAGTGCTGACATTCCAATTCTATCAAGCCTGAGTGCAGAGTCCTTGATGGGCACCCAGAGCAACCAGCAGACATTCCAGAAAAGTCTTTCCACAGTAGTAAGGCTAAATTAGAGAAAAAACTAGACCTGCCCTAACAAAGCTTAAAAAGGATTAAAAGGATATACATGATCTGCAATTAACTAAACTGCCTGCCAAACTTCAACACTCTTTAAAGACAAAAAACTTAAAACACCTAACAACATAATCACAATGCCCACCACTCAGTCAAAAATTACTGGACATGTGACTGTCTAAAATTGCTGTGACCCCTAACAGGAGGAAAATCAATCAACAGAAAGAACCCAGAAATGACAAAGATAGTAGAATTAGTAGATATCAACTTTAAAACAGGTACTATAAACACGACAAATATGCTCAAGGATGTAAAAGAAAACATGAACAATATGAGGCAAGAAATAAAAGATATTAAAAAAACAAACAGAACTTCAAGAGCTGGAAAAAATAAGATCTGAAATGAAAAATTAACTAAATGGAATTAACAACAGATTAGACTACAGAAGAAAAGAGCATAGAACTTGAAGACACAGTAATAAAAACTTATACACTAAGGGGAAAAATGGAGACTAAAACAACTAAACAGCCTCAGCGACATGTGCAACAGTATCAAGTGTATCAGCATATGTGTAACTGGAGTCCCAGGAGGAGAGGAGGGAGGCAAGGACAGAGAAAATATCTGAAGAAATAGCCAAAAATTTTCCAAATTTGATGAAAATTATAAACCCATTAATCGAAAATATTCAACAAACTCCAAGCCAGATAAACAGAAAGAAAACTACAATATGGCATGTCATAATCAAAAACAAAACTACAATATGGCATGTCATAATAAAATTGGTGAAAACTAGCAATAAAAAGAAAATTCTAAAAGCACCCAGAGAAAAAAGCACACATTACATAGAGGAACAAAGAAAAGAATGAAGACAGACTCCTTGTCAGAACCAACACAAGCCAAAAGGCAGTAGGAACCACATCTTTCAAAATGCTGAAAGAAAAAACTGTCAACCTAGAATTCTATAACTAGTAATACATCTTTAAAAATAAAAGTGAAACAAACTACCATACAAAAGCAGAAAGAATTCATCACCAGTAAATCTATACTAGCAGAAATGTTAAAGTAAATTCTTCAAGCAGAAAATAAATGATAACAGATAGAAACTACTATCTATAGAAAGCAAAGAATAAAAGTAGAAATGGTATATACATGAATAAATATTAAAGACTTTTTTCTCATTTTTAATTTCTTTGAAAGAAAATTGAGTGTTTAAAGTAAAAATTGTCACACTATACTGTAAAGTTTATAACATACATAGAAGTAAGGTATATGACAAAGAACAGGAGGAGGAAACAAGAGAATTTGGTTGTGAGGTTCTTACACTATACACAAAACAATGCAATGTCATTTGAAGGCAGATTGTGATAAAGTGAGGATATATATTGTAAATCCTAGAGCAATCACTAAAAAAATAAAACAAAGGAATAGCTACTCAGCCAACAGTGGAAACAAAGCTGAATACCAAAAAATGCTAAATTAATACAAAAGGAGGTAGGCAAAGAGTAAAATGAAAAAAAAAACAGATGGGACAAATAGAAAGCAAATAGCAAGAAAGGTGATTTAACTCTATATTGACAGCGACATTAAATGATCTAAACAATTAAAAGGCAAGGATAGATGGGATTTAAAAAACGGAAGACCCAACTATATTCTACCTACATGAAATGCACCTTAAAAATAAAAACACAGCTAGGTTAAAAGTAAAACAAAGGAAAAAGACATATCAAGAAATCACTAATCATAAGAAAGCTGGAGCAACCAGATCAGTGTCAGACAAAGGCGACTTCACAGCAAGGATCACAGAGAGAAAAAGAACACTTCAATTCATTACGAAGACTTAACGGTTCTATAAGTGTATACACCAAATTACAGAGTTTCAAAATAAACAAAGCAAAAACTGAGAACTGAAAGGAGAAAAACAAATCTATAATTACAGTTGAAGATTTCAATACTCCTCTTGCAGGGACTGATAGAATAACCGAAAAGAAAGTCAGTAAGGATATACAAAAGCCCTAAATAATATTAACCACCTTATTTAAATAACATTTATAGAGCACTCCACCCAACAACAGCAAAATAGACATTCTTCTCAAGTACATATGGAACTTTCAACAAAACAGACCATACGCTGGGCCATAAGTCTTAATAAATGTAAAAGATTGCAATCTGCCTCTAGGAAATGCAGAGTAAAACTAGAATGAGATACCACTATGCACCTACTAAAATGCTAAAATCAGAAAGACTGACAATACTAAGTCCTGATGAGGATGTAGGGCAACTGAAATTCTCAGAGATTGTTGGTGGAAGTGTAAAATGGTACAAACTTTATGGAAACAGTATGGCAGTTTATCATAAGACATACACATACTATACAACCCAGCAATTCCACTCTTACATATTTACCCAACAGAAATGAAAACATACATGCACCCAAAGAACAGTCTGTGAATGTTCACAGCAGCATTGTAACAGCTCAAAACTGAAGACAATCCACATGTCCATCAACTGGGGAAAGGATCAACAAATTGTAGTTCAACAGAAAAGGAACTACTGATACATGTAACAACATGGACGAGTCCCAGAAAGATTATTTTAACAAAAGAAGCCAGAAAGTAAAATACAGTAGATCAGTGGTTGCCCAGAGCCAGGGTGAGGGGGACTGACTGCAAAACGACATAAAGTAACTTCTTGGGGTGATGGAAATATTCTACTCCTTGACAGTGGTGGAGGTGCACACATGTATCAAAAATCAAACTGTATACTTAAAATGGGTGCACTTTATTATACATAAATTATGCCTCAATAAAGTTAACTTTAAAAATTTTTAAAGGAAGAATGAAAACATATAACCATGGACAAAGAGATCAAGCTAGCACTATTTACAAACTATATAACTATTTATTTACTTGCTTAGAAAACCCAAAAGAACCAAATGAAAAACTAGTGAAGTACTTCATTACACAATGAACCTTGAAAATATTACGCTAAGTTCAAGAAACCAGGCACAAGAGACCTATAATGTCTGGTTTCATTATATGAAATGCTCAGAATACACAAAGCTACAAAGAGAGACAACAGATTAGTGGTTGCCAGAGACCAAAGGGAGAGGCAATGGGGAGGGACTGCTGAGGAATATGAGTTTCTTTTTGGGGTGACGAAAATGTTCAGGAATTAGTGATGATGGTTGCACAACTCTGTGATATACTAAAAAACAATGAAGCATATACTTAAAAGGGTGAACTCTATGGTATGTAAATCGTACCTCAATCAAGTTGTTATTTTAAAAAATATGTATGGGGCCCAGCCCCGTGGCATAGCAGTTAAGTTCGGTGCACTTGGCTTTGGCGGCCCGGGGTTCACGGGTTCGGGTCCCAGGCGCGGACCTACACCACTTATCAGCCATGCTGGAGTGGTGACCCACGTACAAAATAGAGGAAAATTGGCACAGATGTTAGCTCAGGGCAAATCTTCCTCAGCAAAAAAAAACAGTGTGTATACACATACATATTCCATTACCAGTGTTGCCATTTACAAAATAAGTATATAAAATATATCTTTGCCGTCTGCCAGCAAAAATCAGTTAGAAAACAAAACAAAGATAATTTCACAAGAGCAATAAAAGATAAAACATACTTACAAATAAACCTAAAAAAATGTTTCCAGGAATCACCTAAAGAAAATTAGCAAACTACCGGCCGGCCCCGTGGTATAGCGGTTAAGTGTGCGTGCTCTGCTGCTGGTGGCCCGGGTTCGGATCCCGGGCGCGCACCAACGCACCGCTTGTCAGGCCATGCTGTGGCGGTGTCCCACATAAAGTGGAGGAAGATGGGCATGGATGTTAGCTCAGGGCCAGTCTTCCTCAGCAAAAAGAGGAGGATGGGCATGAATATTAGCTCAGGGCTGATCTTCCTCACAAAAAAAAAGAAAGAAAATTAGCAAACTTTACTAAGGGACACAGAAGATTTCAATAATTAGAGACATAATACCACCTTCTTAGATAGGTCTTTACAAAATTCAACCTTGTAAAGACATCGAATCTCCCTACATGAATTTTTGGATTTAACAGAATTCCAAAGTGATTTTCTGGGGTGATAAAATAATTCTAAAGTTCATCTGCATTAATGAAAGGCCAAGGTAATAGTC